GAGGTAACTTTGTGTTACATTTTGCAATTAATTGTCTTAATTCAATTATTGCCAATAAAATATCGAAGCGAACAAAGTAATGTGCCTAATGTTCGTTATATTACCTGCTTAATTACATCATACTCACTATAAACGTGACAAAAAAATTACTTTACTTACTTTAGTCTTTTCATTTTTATTATATTAATTTCTTAAATAATGTTTGGTAAATTTTACTTTACTTTTAGGTATATTTGTTATATTTAATTTTGAAAATAAAGCATTCTACAAATGTATCTTAAAAACTTGTTAGTTCCTCCCTTTGTTTCAATTTAAGTTGTTTATTTTTTACTTACATAGTTAAATTTAATCACGTTTTTTTACCAATTTTTGTTATACATTTGATAAAATAATAGACTTGTCATCTTTTGATTTGTAAATTATTTGATGTAGTTTTTAAATATATAAATTTTATTTTTAAATTCTACACCCAATTTCAATTAAATTAAGTTGAAAATAAATTGAGTAGAATTTAGGATGGGGAAAATATTATTGAATTAGGTTATATACATTTGAGTTAAATCAAACCACATTAGAAAATTGAATCTAATCGATTACTTAGTTTAACTCAAGAACTTATTTATTCATTATTTTCTTCTCACATTTCTGATGTGGAATACTCTCTAACGATAAGTTCAGCCAAAACCTCATAAACAACAACATACAAATTAAATGGGGACGGAGACATGGAGTACTATGCATGTCCCTCCATAGAATCATACTATCGTCTCATGTCTAGCTTCTTGATTGTTTTTAACTTTATGTTCAATTCTTCTTATTTATATTATAGATAAATAAATTCGATCTCCTAAAACTGCATTTCATAATGAAACTAATAATGTTAAAGTCAAATCATAGTTCATACTTCATCCGTTTGCAAAAAAGATTCCTACTTTGACTTGGAGTCAAAATAAGGAAGTGTTATATTATAGTTGACTTCCAATTTTGCCCCTGATGTGATGGGTAAAAGTAAGATGTGATGGATAGATTATTAGAGAAAAAGTATGATGTGATAGGTAGGGTATAAAAAAGTAAGGGTAAAAGTTGTTTTTTAATAGAAAGTGGAAATGTTTTGTTGAAAGTGAAAAAAATGAAAGAGAAAGTGTTTTTGGAAACAGGAAGGAGTATAATGTATTATATTTCTCATGCAAATGATAATAAAAATTGAAAAATTCCAATGTACGAAAATCAAACTATAATTTTTTTTATTTTGAGATCAATATAATCCATACATGATAATTAAAGTGGGTATGCATAATAGTTTTAATTGTGAAAAAAAAGTCTCTGCATCTATCCATATTACTTTCCTTTCACACCTGATATATTATTATTGATCATGATAATGATATGGATGGATAGGTTAGTGTCATGGGCAGTGGGCACAATTAGGCAGCTGAGGTATGTTTATGCTTCTAACCAAGTAAAGTACTTACTTTAACAAAAAAAAAAAAAATTTGACCATTTTTTATAGATGAAGTGATAATTAATCTTTTTAGAATGGAGGAAATATACCATAAACATAAATATGATAAGACCAAATAAAAAGTACATCATTATTCAGAACAAAAATGAGCATGTGGTCCAAAGCCAAACGATACTTAAAAAAAATCATAAATGTACATTTGTCACCCATAAAATGGCACCACCCATATTTCTTTTAGTTTGTCAAAAAAGAAGAAAATAAGATTCTTGTAGAAGTGCCCCACCATTTCTTTGACAAGAAAGGAGAAGATGATGACTCAGGCTATGTTGCTGGCACCTTCACATCAACAAAAAAAGACGAGCATCACCCACGAGGGCCCCTTTAGATTCGGTCGGACGATCACTGAGATGAGATAAATTGAACTTTAATCACAGATTAATGGCAAAGAGTGGAGTCTTTAACTAGTACTTGCAGAGGCCCTATGTTTAACATAATTATCTCCCAGCCCAATTGCTAGGAATCGAACCCGAGTTTACCCCTTGACACCCTTTGCCTTGTCCACTGCGCAACGCCCACCGGCGCCTTCACATTAACAAAAATTAACAATTTCTAAGTGCCAAGCAATGAACTTCACAAAATACAATTAATATAGAACAATAATTATTGCTCTATGTATCAAAAAATAATAATTTACAATGTAATAATAATTAGTCTTCATTCCCATGGAAATGCAAATTATGCAATGAAGCTTTAGCCATTGAGAGGGATGGCCCATGACAAGATGCAGAAGCTTTAGCTGTTCATATTACTCATATAATCATGGAAGCTTAATTGATTTGGTGAGTTTAGGACAACGGCTTTTGGATCATTCGAACCTAATGTCTTTTTGGAAATTTTAAAAACTCCAAAAGCTTCTGTTTCCATTTTCAAAATTCCAAAAAGGACCCTTTTGGAATATTTGTACTCCCTCCGTCCATTAAATAAAATTTACGTTTTTTTATTTCTTCGTCCATAAAAAATGCTCATTGTTTTTTATTATCTTCGTCTCTAAAAAAAGTTTCAGTTTAGTTTATAGGCTACGATATTTCATCAAAATTATATTTAATTTAATTTATTTTAATATTTGTACAGAATTTGAATTTTGAAACCATAGATATTTTTTTAATAAAATAGGTGTTGACACAACTATTTTATTAGCCATTACAAAAAACTTGCACGTGAAACCTTAAATTTTTTTAAAACTGGGTATGTAGTGCTGAGTTTCAAACCCGTGACCCCCCTAGTCAATAATTTCTGATACCATGTCAATGAATCAACTCAACCAACAATTTAAACTTGTAGTTAAGGTCCAGATGAAAAGTTTTTTTTATATTCTAACATATGACCATTCTCAAATGCAAAAACGTTAGATTAATTAAGGTATTTTTTGAAAATAATGTTTTTTATGATCGTTAATATATATTTTAGATAAAAATAATAATCATTTAGATTGATAAAATTAAACGCTATCATAAAATAATCTTTTCAAAAATTAACACTAGAGCTATTTGAAAACACCTGCATACTTAGAAAAAGTTGGGCAAGTTCAATGGTTTGTTGAAAGGTGTTGTAAATGGCTCCAAAAAAAGAATGCCGGTTATTAGTTGGAGTCGGGAGAATGTTTGTCTTTGCATTTATTGCTTCTAATTCTGATCAATAAGTTGTCCCATACACAATGCAGACATTAATGTTTATTTCCCAAAACTATAATGGCATGGATAGCTGAACTGACTTATGGAGAGAATGTTAATTAAACTATTGATTTTAGAGTCTCCACTAGCAGTAATGCGAGAGTTTTATAATTTGTAATAACTGTTTGTGCGCATCTGACATTGGATGGCTTCTCTTAAGACCAAATTGAGATTATATCATGAATCTACGATTTATCTCCTCGCAATTCTGTCGGGCCAGGCACCTGAAGTGCCGGGCATTCCACTTTTCTTCCCCAAAACTATACTTAATAATGTGAAACCCATTTTTGATAATAACATTCATTTCACAAAGTTGATGATAATTTTATTAAAGCGTTAAAAAACTGAATTTTCAAGTAGATTTGATTGAACACCTAAAATCAGACATGAAAAAAAATGATCCGATCTATTTTAGAATCAAAACTCGACTCAAAAACACTGAGTTTTAAACAAAGATTTTGATGACAGAACCCAAAGTTGACGAACCCGATCGAAATGACCTGTTAAAAATGGGTCAAACATGACTGAATCCGAACCCGACCTGACCGACCCGCTAATGTAAGAGTTTTTCAAAATCATATACTTTATTATGAAATATAATGTTATAAAAATAAAGTTATAATAATTATATTTTTTTCATTACAACTCATTTTAAGTGAATAATTTTATATTTTTGGACAAAATTTTAATGATACTGCATAAATTTTTACTTTTTTCCAAAACTAATGCATTTTTTCATTCTTTATATTGATTTATATATTTAAAAATTTCTATGGAATTTAAAAAAATAGAATGCGACAAGATGTTGATTCCACAATACGTAGATGCTCATATGCTCGTATATATTTAAAAAAATATTTCAAATATTTTCCCGTGCAATTGATTGTGTCACTACAAAAAAAGAGGGCAATACCGACAGATCCTTAGCGACAGAAACCTTATTTGTCGCTAAAAAGAGAATATTACCGACAGATAAAACTTTTTGAAGGCAAAAACTATTTGACCCACAGAAAGAGTAATATCTGTCGCTATTAGTTATAGTTTTAGCAGCAAACTTTTATCTGTCGGTATTGGTTATAGTTTTAGCGACAAAACTTTATCTGTCGGTATTGTTTATAATATTAGCAACAAAAAAATTATCTGTCAGTATTGTTTATAGTATTAGCAACAAAAATTTATCTATCGGTATTGTTTATAGTTTTAGCAACAATGTTTTATCCGTCAGTATTGATTTTAATGACGTTTAATTTAAATACTCCGTATCTTAATAATAAAAAACCATAAAATTAGGCATCATTTAGAACACGAAATCGAGCCCATGGAATTAGAAATGAAAAACCTCAATTTGGATTTTGTTGTTTGGTCGCACAAAAATATGAATTATAAATTTAAAAGATAAAAAACTATAAAATAATGATTAAAATAATTTTTTACATTGCATATTTACAAATTAAAAATTATAACTTTTAATTTCAGATTTTTAGTTATAATTTAAAATTAAAGGGCTAAACTGAACGAATAGAATTAAGACATATGATAAAAGAACAAATTAACAAATTAAAAACGAGAGGGATGGAAATGCTAGTGGAGATATGTTGAATCATTCATATTGATATAGAATAATAAGGTAGAGATTCTTAACCATTTCCAACGTGGTTAAAAGATATGTCAGTCAACCACAAATCGAAATCAAAAATCAGGGAAGTGACTGTGAAGAAAGCACTAATAAGCAAACATATTAGCAAAATGGGGTCCAACTTATAATTTTGATAAGTTTTAATGTTGATAGAGGGCTGGATAAGGATATCATGGGGATAAAAAAGGGCCGGGGATTGGAAAGAAAGCGGTTTCGGCCACTTCTTCGATCAACGGGTTGGACGGAGGGCTCGCAATTTCGATCGGAATTGGGCACGAAGACAGACGGATCGGGGACGGACTACTTCTTCGACGCTGGGTGGTTCTCCGATTGCAACAGCAGCGGAGGACGATAGCTCGTGGTGGCAAAGCAGAGCCAAACCTGCGGCGAACCCTAGTCTTCGTCGGACAGTCATTAACGAGGGCTGATTCTGGTCCTATTTCTTCAT